CTGGACACGGAGCCAGAGGCACAGGCAGGCCGGTCTGACTCACGTGCCCAAGGTCTCCCGGAATTCGTAGATCTCTCGGATGTCCTGGGCTTTCTTCTTCCAGCTCTGCCCCTCCTCGCCCAGCGGCATCATCCTCCCCAGGCCAGGCCTTCAGCTGCCTCCCCTGCGGTGCAGTGAGCGGCTGGGTGCGGCGCTGAGCTCCCAGCCTGTGCTCTGTATTTTTTACTTTTGTAGATGAAGACCATGAAGTCATAACTACATTGGTAGCTTAGAGAATACAGAGGGAAAGGTTTCTTTGGACACCACATGTTAATTAGGCAGTATTCATAATAATACTATTCAGCATTATCTCTTAGATAACTTTTGTATTCTCCAGGATATCATAGCAAAATAAAATTAGTAATTGCATATTTGTTTTTTTCTCTAATAATTTAAATTCATTTAGAAAGGACAAAAGCAAAAATTGTGAGGAAAAAAAATTAAGCTGCACCAAAAGAGTTTAAGAAAAAAAAATCCATCTGCTATGTGGAAATCTGTGTTTCCAGGATAATAAAAGGCCATTGCCTTGACCGATGACATGAAGCCATCAGAGTCATATTTATTGATGAAACTTTCAGCTCCCAATCTGCTGCACTGAATGAGCATCATACAGCTGTCAGCAAAGGCAGAGCACAAAAACAATGATAGCTTGTGACATTTCCCTTTTATAATTTATGAAAACAAAATATCTTGAAGTTTGTAGGACACCCAAGTAATAATTTTAAAAGTCACATAAAGATCAGTTGTCTACATTATAGCTTTAAAATGGCAGATAGCTTTTATTTGTTTGTTTGTTTTAAAAAAACATTACTAGACTCATATGCAAATAAAGCTCTAACAACATAAGTGGGGCATTATTTCATTATTGATAGATATGTCAAAAGAAATGCAAACCTGATCACTTAACCTGCTAAGAGCTAAAAACAATATGGGACAAAGCCCCAAAATGAGGAACACAAAACAAATTGCAAGAAATTTAAAATACTGAGAGATTTCTTCCTTTAGTACAAATAACTTATCTTAACCTCTTTTTTCCTGATTTTTTATTTCTGTTGTAAATAATTTGCAACAATAAAAGTGAGGTGACACCAAATATTTTGGACTAAAATAAGTGACATCCCTTGAAAAGGGGGACGTTTGAGAAGATTATAATTGTTGTCTCCAATAGTTACCATTATCTCTTGGACTACGTCTACATTTCGGAGCTATGCCAGGATACTGGAAGTAGCCCAAAATAGTTATTCTGCATCTTTTGAGCAATCCCGTTATTTCAACTCTATTCCGATGTCTCTGTAAACCTCATTCCATGAAGGGTAAAGGATGTTTTGGAATAGTGCTCTGTTTCAAAATGAGCCAAATTTTAAAATAAGCTATTTTGAAATTAACTTGAAATAAGATATGCAATTTGTATAGCTCAAACTCCATAGATTATTTTGAGCTCCGAGTGCAATGTAGATGCACCCACAGTGTGCATTATTTTAATCAAGAAATTATGTATTTGCTATTCCTACATGTTAAGGCCCAGTAAAATTTGTAACACCATTTTTCCTTTGTTGCTGTTCACTCAGATTCCAAAGTTGAATTTCATGAAAATTCAAGGGCCCTAGAAGTTTTTCCATAGATCAGCTCACAAAAGCCAATTCTGGGAGTTTGAAATTTCACAGTTTCAGTGACTGGAAAAACTTGGCTGATTTCAGCATCACCTTCAACTGTCAGACTGTGGCCTCAAACAACCTGATGTTGTTACACACAGTTTTTATGTATGTCCATTTTGGTCAAGCTGAGTGTAGACAGCTGCCTTTCTGGGTGAATCTATGTAAGTAGGAGCCCTGCCTGGCAGTACATTGCCTGCAGAGCTTGTCCAGCCTGTGAAGGGTAAAATTCCACCATGACATTGTCTCTTGTTTCTTCTAAAAACAGAGAAAGTGATTCTTTAGCTGAAGCTCACAGACAATCTGGGTCAGGTGAAAATTACCACTATTGCAGATCTGAAGGGCATGCTAAAAGTTTGTGACTTGGCAAAGCCTTAGAATAGATTTTTTTGGGGGAATATGACTTTATGATTAGGATAATGCTCATTCTCCTCCTGCTAAAACACCAATTACTCTTCTTTAGCAACATTAAGCATAATCATCTTCCTCAGGTTTCTTTGGCCAAGAATCTAAAGAACTCTCCTATTCTAGATAAACCCTCAGCTTCCTATCCTTGGGAGCAGCCCGGGGCGGCCGCCTGCTTCCGTCCAGCCAGCGCCGGGGCCATGCGCCGGCCTCCCCCGCCCCGCCCCGCCGGAAACCCTCCGCTGGGCTCCCTGCAGGAGAGCTGCTCCCAGCGTGCCCACGGCCTAGCCCCCTCCACACAGGCCTCCGGGGTTTCCTTCCATTCATCCAGAGGGGCCAGCACGCTCCCAGCCCAGGAGCCCTCAGGTCCTGGCCAGCCACGTCCCTCCCCTCCAACTCCCAGCACGGGGAGCAGAGAAACCCCTGGAGAAAGGATTGTAGGACTGGCCCCCCAGCTGGGGCAGACCAGGGCCAGACACTTGCATGCAAGGAAGCCCCACAGGGCCCCAGCTGGGGCAGGAGGCTGGGTTGAACCTGGCCCTGACACAGGGCTTGGTGCTCATCCTCACTGGCTGCAAAGGGACTGCTAGCAGCTGCCTGGTCCTGAATGGCACAACATGATACTGCTTCCCCTCTGCAAGGGGCTGCCCTGGGAACGGTCAAGGGCACCAGGCTGAGCCTGCTGGGCTGCAGGCTGACCTGGAGGCAGCTGCGCTTGGCTGTGCCCAGGGCTGATGCATGGCTCTCTGGGGGGACAGCACCGTTCCTGCCTGGGCCCTTGGCTGGGGCAGGGAGATGCAGAGAAGCCGCACCCCCTAGGGAGAAGGGGGAGTGTGGAGAGCAGCTCGCCAAGGTGCGGCCTGGGCTAGCAAACCCCTCCAGCCTGGGAGAGGGAGCCCCGGGCTGGGCACGTTGCTCCCCCACTAGCCGTCCAGGAGCTTGACTTCCAGGCCTGGTCCTTCTCCTTCTTGGTGGGCGTGCGCTTCTTCTGGCGGGCTGCCATGATCTTGCGGAAAGCATCCATGCCCTGGCTGTCAGCCATGCGCACGCGCTGCCGCAGAACCTGGCGGTCCAGCTCCTGCTTGGCCAGCCTGGGGAGAGGCAGCGCTGTGAGCAGCGGCCTGGCCCGGCCCAGCCCCCAGGCAGCACCTCCAGCCCCACACGCACCAGAGCGGCTCCTGCTTGGCCAGCCTGGGGAGAGGCAGCGCTGTGAGCAGCGGCCTGGCCCGGCCCAGCCCCCAGGCAGCACCTCCAGCCCCACACGCACCAGAGCGGCTCCTGCTTGGCCAGCCTGGGGAGAGGCAGCGCTGTGAGCAGCGGCCTGGCCCGGCCCAGCCCCCAGGCAGCACCTCCAGCCCCACACGCACCAGAGCAGCTCCTGCTTGGCCAGCCTGGGGAGAGGCAGCGCTGTGAGCAGCGGCCTGGCCCGGCCCAGCCCCCAGGCAGCACCTCCAGCCCCACACGCACCTGAGCAGCTCCTGCTTGGCCAGCCTGGGGAGAGGCAGCGCTGTGAGCAGCGGCCTGGCCCGGCCCAGCCCCCAGGCAGCACCTCCAGCCCCACACGCACCTGAGCAGCTCCTGCTTGGCCAGCCTGGGGAGAGGCAGCGCTGTGAGCAGCGGCCTGGCCCGGCCCAGCCCCCAGGCAGCACCTCCAGCCCCACACGCACCTGAGCAGCTCCTGCTTGGCCAGCCTGGGGAGAGGCAGCGCTGTGAGGCCTGCCTCTTGCGCAGCTCCGCCAGCACCTCGTCCTCCGCGTCCTCAGGGGCCCGCTCCTCGGACTCCAGCAGGCCTTGGGCAATCAGCTCCTCTTTGAGCCGCCCCTCCAGCGACTTGGTGTGGGGCACGCTGCAGGGGGCACAGGAGAGTGCGGCTGAGTCCCCAGCAGCCCCCCACCCCGGGTACTGCAGCAGCACAGCCTGCCCACGCAGCAGAGGGCCACCCCCATCCCTCGGGCAGGCAGGACTGACCCTCACTCCACAGAGGAGGCACTGAGAATCCACCTGGCGCTCACCCCCGGCTGGCTGCTTCCAGCCCCGCCCAGCCAGAGCGCCAGCCCAAACTCTCCCCCAGCAGCTGGGGGCCCCCCTCCCCCCCCCGGGCGGCT